GCCTTAGGCTCAGTTATAACTCATGGGGGAAGCCACTCCCCTACCTTCAGGGACGCCAAGGACCAAGCCAGGCACGTGACAGCTATCACTAGCTTTAAGAGGTGACCCTGAATCTTTGGCCCTGTACAAAGCAGAGGAACAAATCCCAGGTCAGAACTGCTATAATTGGTTCAAGGTCACCCAAACTTAGTTCAAGACATTAGCAATTAATGGGTCATGACTAAGAAATTAGGTGAGAATTGAGTTCACTGCATCTCAGAGCCATCTCAGAGGCACCTTGGGGTCTTTGGGAGAGGTTGAGGGCAGCTGCCTGAGGGTCCGACCAAAGTTCTGTCATTTTTCAGGCCTCCAGGGGCCTGGCAGCAACTACCTCAGTCTTATCCCGAATTTATATGCCTTTTAAAATGACATCCATGTATATATTTCCCCGTAAGCAAAAAAGTGATGGTAGATAGTTCATGATGGAAATTGCAAAGTATAGAAAAGTATGTCAAAGAAACAAAACCTCCGTCAGGGTCTAACCACAGTCTCAAAATGTTAAGAGGTTGCCGAGGTCAGGCACACCTGCGCGTGTCCTGGCCTCACATAACCTCTCCAGGCTTAATGTGACGTCTTCTCATCTGAACCGACATAGTCCACCTCACACGGCTTGTGTGAGGGTTAAGTAAGGATGTGTGTGGGTGTGTGCATGTGTGCGCACGTGCAGTTGTTATCATTTCTGCCAATAGTTTGGAGTATTTCTTTCCAGCTTTTTTCGTACATATCAGTATTTATTGCTCATTGTTTGATAGCAGCTGCCCCCTCCCCTACATCCGGGCATTCCAAATGTCCCTGGCAGAGGCAGGACTATGTCCAGAGGACTCAGGTGAAGAGACAGAGTGAAGCTGGACTGGGAGAGTGGATGGTAAGGAGGGTATTGTTTGGAAAATGAGGCCCAGAGCTCCTCCTCTGCACACTCTGAGACTTAGGCAAAACCCAGAGCCCAGAGCGCCTGGCAACCTCCCTATAGATCCTCCATCTTGGTGTGTAGCTATGGCAACTGTCTTTCAGATTCTCTGGGACAGTTCTACATGGCCAGCTGTCTAATTGTGGTCCAGACAGAGGCAGCAATGGGGCAATTGCATCTAAAAGTGAAATATAAGAAGTGTTATTCCACTGACATTTCTGCCTTTCGGAGGAAACCAGTCTTCTTATTATGACAACAGCCTTTTGATATTATTCCTTCTGCAAAAGGGAGGGAAGAGAGCAGCTCCCACCACTGCCCTGGATCGAGTGCAGCTCACAGATGGGCAGCCACAGATGGGCAGCTCACAGGCTTTGGATTAAAGCAGATTTAGGAGCAAATCCCTGCTCCACCAATTACTGGCAGGGTGAAATTTTCAATGTGTCCAAGGTTTTTCCTCTTCTCATTTTCAAATGGGGATGGTAATGCCTGTCTCATAGCTGTGTTCATAATTAAGTGAGGAACATATGAAATATGCCAACCGCAGTATCTGACACAAAATAATTCTCCAATATTAATGATATTTTCAATTTTGGAGATCACAGAGTAGAAAGGAACCCAAGTGTCAGCAAAAAGACAAACAGATGCAGGAACATGGCATAAGAAGTTATCAGTAGAACACAGTCGAGGGGACATGTCTCCTGGTAGCTGTTAAGATAGGGCTCAGGACCAGAAGTAACCAGTGCCCAGTCAGAGGTGGACCTGGGAACATGATGACAACCCTGATCACACACTGTAGCCCAGATCCACGTGGCCTTGTAGAGAGGGCCGGCCAAACTAAGGAGCGCAAGAAGATGGGCAACAAAGGCTGGGCCAGAACAGAGACTATCACCGAAATTCATATTTCATTAATTATTTGTGGTAAAGGACTGTTTTACAAATTTGTTTCAGACCAATGTTTTCATTTAAAAAAAAAATACTGTAGCAATGTCAAATTACTATCAAAGTTTCTAATTGCCAACTTAAAATTTTGCTCTTGTTGAGAACCAGTTTCAACTCTGTGTAACACTGGCTTAAGAGGTCTTGTTTGCCTTTTTTTGGTATGTGTGTGTGTGTGTGTGTGCTTATGATTGTTGTTTTTGATTCGTTTTGTTTGCTAGTTGCATAATGAGCGGGAATTGGAATTTTAAAATCAGTCTTTCTTCATAATGATGTAGAGCCCATTACCCACACATTTGCTTATAAGAAGCAAATGTGGTTCTCATCTAAAGGCATGAGCTTGGACATGGCCACACTGTCCAGGAAATCCCAGGAGGACAGCGGGGTTGATGGTAAGAGAGATGGTGAGGCTCTGAATTTTGGAGACTTCGTCTCAGCACACCTTTCTCCCTGAATTTAGGGAAAACCCTATCAGAAGAATAAATATTCATATCTATTACAACAATATTATAATCAATAAGAATATGTAATAGATATTATATTAACATAATAATAATAAAAATGCTTTTCTCTAAAGGGCAGAAATAGAGATGTACTAACTGTTGTAGGGACAAAGGAGGCAAGGCACCAAAGGTAGCAGGAAACAGTTTTATTTGGCTGCAGCCAGGTTCAGAGGGCAGAGCTTTTGCTGTAATCAATTAATCTCCTGAACCCCGAGTTCAGGGAGTTTCAGAGTTTTATACCCAGCATGTAAGGGGAGGGGTTCAGAAGTTCACAGTCTGCAGAAGTTCACATAAAAGCAGCTTTTTATTTCACTGTTCTGGGCAAGTTAACTCTTCAAGGACAGCACCTGAGAAAGGGAGAGCTTCTTCTCTTCTTTCTAGCCTCCCCCTGCCAGCTGTTACCATGGGCCCATTTGTAACTTATCTGAAAAATGTAGACATCTCTGTGAAGCCCAGCTCAAGGCCAGAGGCCTTGTTTGCACAGTTCTACAAAGTACTATACTGGATACGTTTGTGAAAAACTAGTAAGGGGGTGTCCAGCACCTGGAGTGCTGGTATCCTCTCGGCCAGTGGCCAAGTAAACAGGGTGACATGAAAATAGGAAGTTTATCTACAATGGACTCTTTTGCTGACAGTCCTAAAATCAGCCATGGTGAAGAGGGCTTTTCTGTGGAGAAAGGGGGTACCACTTCAGTTCTACCCACTAAGCAGCTCCCCAAGCATCCCCCACTCATCACTCTCCCTTCCAGATCAGTGTGTGTGTACCAGATCCGTCCTTTAAAAATGACACCACGGTGCTGATGCTCTGCTCACAAAAGCCTTTACGGCTTCATAAGACCCTGTGTAAAGTCACGCCCCCTCTATCAGCCACTTCTACAACTATTTCCCAACCTAGCCTCTCCACTCCAGGCCAGGCCATTTCTTCTGAGCCCCTCTGACTTCTCGACCCTTTTTCTTCCAGGAGAAGCCAAAGCTCTGCCTTCTGGCTGCCTTATTCCCTCTCATCCATTAGGACCAGACACAAGTCCACCTCTTCTGCAAAGCCATCTGCTTCCCCAGCTCCCTCCGAGCTCTCCCTTCTCTAACCCCACTTGCAGATCTTGTCCCTGCCTCGGGTCTCCTCACAGACTGCATCACTATCCATCCTTCATGTGAGACACTGATACCAGAAACTTCCCTGTTCCTCTTTCATGCCCTTTGTCCCACCACCACCACAAGGAATCTAAGACTGTGCATGTAACCACAAACCCCAAATACCCAATGGACTAAAGAGTCAGTCAAATAGAAGGAGAAGGAGAAGAGAGAGTCCAGGAGGAGCAGCAGGAAAAGGAAGAGAAAATAATTCTGGTTTTCTCTTGAATGCCTGGTTTGCCTTCACCATTTCCCAGATTTATAGACAATTTGAAAGGAAAGGGCCTTAAAAATCATAGGGCCCAATGATATGATGCTAACTATGAAGACTTGTTGAAAACTAGACACAACTGCCCTAAGTCAATCAAAAAGTATACCATTTAAGAGCTGTGTGACCTTCGAGATGTCATTTAACATCATTGTTCTTCAGTTTTCTGTCTTTGAAGTGTGAATAATATAATAATTACTTGTGGAGATATGTGAATATTAAATGAATGTATGTAAAGCACCTGGACAGAGTCTGAACCACGGGAAATGTCCAGTCATTGTTAGGGAAGAGAGCCCTGCCTGGATGACATCACAAGAGTGTGCTTCAAGACATACAAAGCAAAATTCCCCCAGAGTTGGTCACAAACTATTAATGATTTGTGAAAGCAATCCATGGGGATGTTGCTGTGGCTTGAATGTTTGGGTTCTCCCAAAATTTGTATTTTAATCCCCCAAGGTGATGATATGAGGTAGGACTTTTGGAAAGTGATTAGATCATGAAGGTTGTTCCACCAGTCAAGGGGATTAATGCCCTGAGAGGCTCCAGAAAGCTGTCTTCCCCCTTTGACCATAAGAAGATACCTGTCAGGTGCCATTTATAAGGAATGGTCCCTCACAAGATACCAAATAAGCCAGCACCTTGATCTTGGACTTCCCAGCTCCAAAACTATGAGCAATACATTTCTGTTGTTTATAAACTAGCCCCACTTAAGGTATTTTGTCATAGCAGCTCAAGTGGACTAAGTCAGGTAAGCATACCTACATCTGTGTCTATTTCTACTTGAATTTTGGGTCATCATATAAAATGTATTTATAACTGTGGGTCACTGTTAAACAAGTTGGAAAGCCACTATATTAAAATGTTCTACAAATAAAGTGAAATGGCACACCAAACCACATGTAGAGTGCAAGATGTCACCTTAAGAAAATTTTCATCTTCCATCTTCCCTGGACCTTGGTTTTCCATCGACACCACAGTCTTGTTAATATTGCCTTAATTTTTCTTGCATCTGACATGTGACACATATCCCCTGGTTGCTTCACTAATTAAAATAGAGAGGATTGCCTTGCACAGAGGACCGAATTCCTTGGGCCTAGGGTCTGGTCTAGTGGGCGTCTTTCTCCATCAGATGGAACGTGTAGAAACCTCAAGGACAGAGGAGAGCTTCTGACTTTGAAAACTACTTAAGTCAATAACTTTCTCTTGCATTTTCCAGTGATTCTGTCACCCACATTGTAGCAGAGAACAATTCGGGTTCCGATGTCCTGGAGTGGCTTCAGGTACAGAACATCAAAGCCAGCTCGCAGCTGGAGCTGCTGGACATCTCCTGGCTGATAGAGTGCATGGGGGCAGGGAGACCAGTGGAGACAACAGGGAAACACCAGCTTGTTGTGAGTGTCCTGGCTGTGATTGTCATTGCTCTTTGCTTGGCAGACAAACAACATGGGCTTTAGAATCAATGGATCTGGGTTAAATCCTAGTTCCTGGTTTACTTCCTATGTGACCTTAGTTTTGCTGGGCTTCGGTTTTCTCCTTTGTGATACAACATTAATGCCACCTAATGACACAGCACAAAGATGAGAATAACATGCACGGACAGCCCTTCCAGGGCCTGATAGCAAGTACAGGCACTGAGTACATGGAGGCTATTTTTATGAACACATTTATACACAAATATTTCAAAAATATGTAAGCCTGGATATTCTGGGAGCCAGAAAAATAAAGGGTTCCTTTTTTTTTTCCTTATTGAGATCATTAAGGAAGAAAAGTCAAGTTTAGCTCTCAATGCCAAAATCTTGAGCATTAGTGCCATAACTTGGGGGAAGAGGGCTTGGACCATAACAACATAAGTTCACAGAAAAGGAAAATGATAATTCATTGGAGATCCTTTTTCATGTAATTTTTTTCCTGATTTCCAAAAAATACATGTTAAGGATAGCAGATTTAAACATTAGAGATGTATGTAACATGGAATTTGAGGCTCCTATAATTCTATCCATCAAACTGCCTTCAATTTGTTTCCTCCTATATACCTGGCTATTAATTGTTGCTTAACATGGACGCTTATGCATTTGTTCAGGTGAGAAGAGACAGCCCAGACCACTCCAACTCAGACCCTGAGAGGATCCCACCGCCTGCTGTGCAAACAATCTCTCAGTATGCATGTCAGAGAAGAACAACTTTAAACAACTGCAATAGAGTATTCACGGTAAGAGGGTTTGCCAATGAAGGGCTTGCGGTACGGTACCTTTCTGTGGGTCTCCAAGTTAAATTACGGGAGTTGTTTTTGAAATCTGAAAAAGGAAAAGGTTTCTACACACACACACACACACACACACACATACTCACACACACCCATCCCTCTAGCCTGATCTCTGGTTCTTGATCTGTCTCCTTTCTTGGAAAAATACATTTGGATAATATTATGTAGAGATTCCTATTTATTGCGAGTTGTCATTAATAGAAACAATACTTGCAAAAAGAGATATTCTGAAAAATGAAATACTGTAATTAGTGCAAAAAAGAGTAAAAGCAAATTACCCAGCAACAGTGCATCCGTAGCCTTTGCTAGAAGCCAAAAGACTGAGTCCACAGACCTGGATTCCAGCTGGATGTTAACTGGCCTGGGCAAGTCCGTTACCCTAAGCCTCAGCTTCCTCATCCTGACAATGAGAACTCAGCTGGATCATCTCTGAAGCCCTGCCCCACCCTGAAGTGTTTCAAATGACCCTAGCAAGCCCACAACTGCTAGCCTAGTGGTCAATGGTCACCTGAATAAAACATGCCATACGATATCAAACACAGAGTTGCTCATTTCTAGACTTCCAGTCCCATATCTGCCAGGAAGACCAGGACATTGCAGCTCCTGGGCCCTCTCAGCGTGATGTCACACACAGCAGGTGCTTCCTCTTCTCCTAGCAGTGCAAACATGCCCCACCTTAGCTAACCCTGGGGGGGCGGTCAGTGTGACCAATGAGTGCACGCACTTACTTATCAAGCCTATGTTAAGTGCCAGCTGTGTTCTGTGTACACACTAAGAGACAAATGCCCAGTGGTCACAGCAGAACCCTTGCCACAGGCTGTGGGAAAGAGGCAAGAATCATGCCAAGTCATGGCCAGTGGGATGTGGTGAGCTGAATCTTTCCTGAACACCTAACTGCAGCAAACTCAGTTTCCTCATTATGCACGCGACACCTGTCTTTTCTGTTCAACTCCATGCGATCCCACAGGGGCAGGGGGGGGTGGCGGGGGGATACAAAGGAACTGGAGGCCTGCTCCCCACCGTGGAGGAATGCCATCAGATGGCATTCTACTATGTAAAGGAGAGACAACCAGAGGCATTTGCAAGGGAACACTGGCTCGGGGCTCAGAAACAGAACTTTTGTTTATCTGGTTTTATTCTTCAGGATGCTTTTGACGTCTTAGCTGAAAATTATGAGTTTAGAGAAAATGAAAGCTGTTCTGTGGTATTTATGAGAGCCGCTTCTGTACTGAAATCTCTGCCATTCACCATCATCAGCATGAAGGACCTCGAGGGAATTCCCTGCCTGGAGGGCAAGGCGAAGAGCATCATAGAGGTAAGGGTGAAGGGAAGTTTGTCCCAGCTCTTAAGAGGTAAGGGTTGAGATGGAGACAGAGAGGATTGTGAACATCCTAACTACATAATTGAAAGGAAAATCTGTCATCTCTCTCCATCTCAACGTGTATCTATTCATGTATTTATATAGGAAAAAAGATAGATGCATACACATGTATGATTTATATCCAAGATAATCACAGTGGGAGCTATCTGGGGCCAGCTTGGGGAAAAAGAAGAGCTCCCCCATATTGTTATTACTTGCAGTGAAAGACTCAAGGGAACGGAAAGCTCACCAGCAGGAGATTGGTCTGACTCCGACAGGCTGTGCGGACAGCTCAGTTCCACTCAGGGTTGGTCCCCTCCACAACAGTGATCGACATGACATGTGGAGACCCTGATTCTACAGGTCTACCTGTGTGTTCTAGAAAGACAGCCACTGTTTCTGTATTTAGCAATGTGTAAGGGTTCCTCGGGAAGGCAAGTGGGTGATCCAGGGGTAGCTTCAGTGTAGTCAAGTACATTCATTATTCAAGGAAAATATCCCAAGTGTACTTAGAGGCGGGGATGCCAAGGGCATTGTATGGGCTTGAACAAGGACTGGCTTTTTTCAGTGGGTCCTAAATTAACCTGCACAATAGAAAAGTTCTCTTATTTTAGCAAGTCGATAGCCATTAAAAAGAAAATCATCACAAATCTGTGGACATACGTTTGTCAATAAACATTTTGGTTTGGGTTCTGTAGATCTGAACCTAGTACTTCTGTATCCTTGTCCTTGAGAATCATAAAGAGGTCTCTGGATACATGATGAGCTAGGATTTTGGATTATAGGAAAATCCTTGTTTTCTCTAGATTAGCAGGGAAACATTCTACAGCAATGGGTGTGCATGTCATGAGGAATCAAGCCACTCGATCTGTAAATGTGAGAGTCTCAGATTGTGATCATCCAATGTCACAAATTTAAAATACTTTTTCAATTGTCCATAGGAAATCATTGAGGATGGAGAAAGTTCTGAAGTTAAAGCTGTCTTAAATGATGAACGATATAAATCCTTCAAAGTAAGTGATGTTACATGTTTATTGAAAGTGGTTTTACAATTAATCTTCTTGCTTATTCTGGCTGTGTTTTTTTTTAACAGCATGCAAAATATCACATTTATTTTCTACTGAGCATTCTTCTATTTTTCACACAAAACCAAATCTCAATTTTTTTTTAACAAATGTTTAAGGTTAAAATCCACTATGTTCCCAAAGAACATAAATAAGAACAATTTCCTTCAATGGGAGTTCATAACCCACTGGCTGGTTTTATTAGTCAGTTCAGGCTGCCAAAATAAAATGCCATCGATTGGGTAGCTTAAAAAATAGAAATGTATTTTCTCCCAGTTCTGGATTCTGAATGTTCTAAATCAAAGCACCAGCATGGCCAGGTTCTGTTGAGGGCTCTCTTTCTAGCTTTCCCATGGCTGCCTTCTTGCTGTGTATTCTCATGGCTGAGAAAGAGGTGAGCAAACTCTTTGGAGTCTTATAAGAGCACAAATCCCATCATGAGGGCCCAGCCTCATGACCTCATGTAAGCTTAATTACCTCCAAAATGCCCATATCCAAACTCCATGATGGTGGGATTAGGGCTTCAGCGTATGAATTTGAGTGAGGGTGGTGATTTTGCCCTTAGCAGATTTCTAAGAAGAAGATGCCTAAATAAATATGGGTGTTCCAGCATATCACCGTGTGATGGTGATATGCCAATTACCTTTCCTTCCATGAATCTCTCACTTGTGGCTACAAATGTCATAAGGACACAAAGACCAAGCAGACAGAACAAACTGCTCTTGCAGAGCACAGCTGTGTCTGAAAAGCTCCTTGCTGCATCCTCATTTACTCCGTAGCAGGGCTTACCTCTAATCTGCCCTAAAGTTGCAGGTAGACTGACTTCAGCCAGTTCCTTCTGTTCAGAAATGGTGCACAGGCCTAAATTGTGGCCGTGAGCAGGAGCCCAGGTCTGGAGCACAGATAGATCAGGGTTTAATCTGGGTTCTACCTCTTAGCACCTGTGTGATGAGGAGAATTTATATAACCTCCTTGAGCATCCCTCTTTCAAATGTGGAGGTAGATGTGCAGAGCAGCATTGCCTGCATGAGACTCTCAGCAAAAGTGGGTGCTCCGTAGGGGTATTTTCTCACTAACAGCACAGACAATCTGTCTGATTATGTGCAAACCAGGCCTGCCTCTCACTGCTCAGCTGGAACAAAAATCCACTAAAAAATTACCATCACCTGCCTGGTTGGAATATTCCATAGACACTGGGTAGCAGTTCTGATCCGTTACCTGAGATCTTGAAAAGTACCACTTCATTGTCATAGTGATTATTTTAGAAACTAATGGCATGGCTTTCTCTCCCTTTTAGCTCTTCACTTCTGTTTTTGGAGTGGGATTGAAGACATCTGAGAAATGGTTCAGAATGGGTTTCAGAACTCTGAGCAAAATAAGATCGGACAAAAGCCTGAAATTTACACACATGCAGAAAGCAGGTAATGATCTCTCCTAAACCTCAGGGTTTTCCGGAATGGTCAGGTTTGGTAGAGATCGTAGTCAGTTGCACTTTGATGACCGTGTGGGTGAGCCAGAACACTTTTTGGTATCTGTTGATGTTTGAAACCAAGTCTTGGCTTCAGCACCATCCAACTGCGTGATCTCAAACAAGTTAGTTAAAACCTTCAGGCCTTGGTTACCTCATTGATGAAAGGGAGGCAAGGTTGACAGTTAACAGGGAAATGCGAGCAAAGTCCTGCACTGAGTGCTGGCACCAAGCAGAGGCACTCTTCCTGTGACTGCTGTCATTTCTTCATCAGATATCGACCTGGTTCTCAAGGACTCCCTTAACACTGGGGTCCTGGCTCTCCCTGGGTAAGAGACATGGGTGTGGCGTTAAGGACAGAGGATGTCAACACATAGGATTGGAGAGAAAGGAATACTTAGAAACTAGAGTCATTGCCACAGTGTGGTTCACAACTGTGGATCTGCCTTACAAACTAGAAAACAGAAGGCAAATGGTGGAAATCCAGAAAAGGGGTTGATCTCCCCAACCAGGACCCGTTACCTGAGAATAGAAGACATGAGCTCTGTAACCATCACCTCCAAGCCTGGCAGGGCCTCCCAGGGCTCAAGGTGTCTTGGCTGCTTCCACGTATGGAAGGTTCTGGTGTATTTTTCAAAAATGAAAAAATGTCGATTCAGGGTCAAAAATGTGTTGTGTGCTTTAAATGTGTATTTTTAATATAAAATTCCATATAGAAATACCATGCAATATTAATAGAAATACAATATAATCGTGGTTCTAAAGGTAGCCACAGTCACAGTCCCCAGCACTATGGCCTCTGGAGTTACGGAAATTGATGACATTATCAACATTTTACTGATATAATACTAAGGGACCAGAGGATACCAAGGAAAAAAGAAAGCAAACAGCTATCTTCTGCTTAAACAATGACAACAAAGAATAAAACTAGAAGCAAAGATCAAGGAAGCAAATCAAACCTTGGTGGGTCCCAAGAACATCCCAACTCATCTTTTGTAAATGTGCTAATTCCTCAAAGATTGCTAACAAGCATTATATAATGTCACATAGGAGATAAAAGAATCTAAGAAAAAAAGACCCAGTATTTATATTCTGGGCTCCAGAAAGTACACATTTAAAAGGTCTGATTTATATCAGCTCTAGAGATGTCATTAAAATTAAATTTACATAAGTATTAATCATAAGTGGCAAGTTGATGGTTTGGAATGACAGTAAGGACCCTCAATGCTTAAAATCACCTAGATGGAACCCCTGTGAAAGGACATCAAGTGCCAGTAAGATCTAAGGATCTTCCAATTCCTTAGGTTTGTAAACTGGATTTTTCTTTTTCTAGCTGGGCTCTTCCAACATAGTGCATGAAATAGCTATTCATTTAATCAGTGTCTGCCCTCCGACTGTTGAATAATGTTAGTTCTATGTAGAAATCAGGGAATACCCTCTCATCATATTTACTAGAAAAACAAAATCTTGGTTATGTGCGTCCCCTGGAGCAGCGCTCCAGTGCCTGGAATTGTCAGTGGGAATTGCTTAGGGTTCTGCAAAGGGGAAGCTAATACACATTGAGAGTCATTTCCCAAAGGCGGCCCCAGGAGAGAAGAATTTTGTAGATTCTGCTTGGCAATCAGCCTTTGGAGCAAGACTTTTGTTGGTCTCAATGTGTGATAAATGGGTCAGGTGAAAAACCTGGTTCTCTTTAACTTATAATTGCACCTGACTTCAGTTCTCTGAAACTTGAGTATTCCCATGCTACATTTGTCTCAAAAAGTCAGTTTCTGAAATATGACAGCACATATATAACATTACACAGTGTGATTAGTTTCTTGCCACACCAAAAAGAAAACCCAACTAAATTGTTTTCATGGATGTTACCAAGTTATCATAGTACCTGCATCTTCATTCTTGATACCTGCATGCTCTTGAAATCATTGCTAATTATAACTTTTGGTTCACATACAATAAGCACAGGAGTTTTATGATTACCAAATGAGTTGCACTTTGTGTATCAGTCATGATGGCACTCTCTGTATGAGAGCCAATTGAAGTATTGCTTTCTAGATCAAACTCCCCATACTCCCCATATACTTTTTCTCCTTTTATTTTAAAAAGCCACCTTTTTTAAAATAAAAGGAGAAAAAGTATAAGTTGTAGTACCAAGAAAGTACTCCCATAACCTAAGTGGTCCCATAGGTTTGGCATGGTATTGGACAGTGTATAGGTATGTTAGTATGAGAGTCATTTCTTTTGGGTCCCCCCAACACATTTTTGCAAGTTTCCTATTAAAGTGAGCTTTTTCATCACTGTAATTGAAAGATCTGCAAAGAACAAGGTAGAGGAGGAAAAGTCTATTTGAGGCTCATGGTTTCAGAGGTCTCAGTCCATGGATGGCAGATTTTATTGCTGTGGGCAGAAGGTGAGGCAGAACATCATGGAAGGGTGTGGTGGAGGAAAGTAGGTTAAGAGATAGCAATAAGGAAGCAGGGACACATTATAAACTCCAAAAGCCACTCCCCACTTGCCTACAATTACCACCCAGTTAATCCATATCAATGGACTAATCCATTGATTAGGTTACACCTCACAATCCAACCATTCCACCTCCAAACAATTCTTGCATTGTCTCACATACGAGCTTCTGGGGGACACCTCATATCTAAACCATAACATGCCCCATTTAGAGATAACAGGGAAGATTGAGAACTTTGTGAACAGGATGTTCAAGTCAAATGACCTCCATACCACCTCCCTCTCTCATTCCTGGGGTGAGAAACAAGGACCAACAGATTTGCTTGATGTCCTTTCTGAGTGTCAGTGGTGGGTAAACTTGCAAGGAAGTAGACCCAAATTTGTCATAAGAAAGAACTGCCATGCAGAGTTTGCAGATAGGAAATGGGCTGCCTCTGGAGGTGTCAGTGCCCCTGTTATTAGAGAGATGCAGCAGAGTTTGGATGGTCCTCTCTTGGGGACCTTAATTAGAAGAGCAGTGCCTCGTACTGAATGAAGCATAATTAGATGTCACTCAGGCCCACTGAGTCTCCCCTGCAATCTTCCTCCCAATCCTTGGAGATAAGCCTCCATGTCTCCCTGCCTTCCTCCTCTGGGAAAAGCCCAGTCATTAGCTCTTCAGACATTGAGCTTTCATTTGTTTATGCACCAAAGAAGCAACAATCCAAACGCCCCCAGTGCTTTTCACCTTGTCGCAAACACAAATCTACCCTCTTCCAGTTCTCAACTTTCACTTTTTAAGTTGATTCATTGTCTTCCATCCTAAATCTTCCCATCCCGAATCCTCATGCATTACCTTTCTTATGGATCAAGAAGCCTGGATCTTCATTAGGACCTCAGACTGGAATGGTCTGGATTCCCAAGGGATAAAATATCTCCTTCTAGTAAGGACATTGTACGTCTCTCAATCAGACACCAAGGAGTCATTGCCACCTGGACAATCCACAACCAGACGAATTGTATGGCTTATTCTGTCTCCATGGAAACAGAGTGATGCCTGTGGCCATGAAGCTCCATCTGGGGGCAGAATCTCCTCCACAGAGGTAGTTTTTTTTGTATGCACCTCACTCTCTCCACTGACCTGTCAAATGACCTCTCAGGATTCCTCTATTATGAAGACCTCGTCAGCTGTGTGACCAGGGCAGAAGCAGAGGCAGTCAGTGTGCTGGTTAAAGAGGCCGTCTGGGCATTTCTTCCGGATGCCTTCGTCACCATGACAGGAGGATTCCGGAGGTAACTCACGCTCTGCTTTGCTTCTCCTGCTCTAGTACCCTCAATAGCTCCCTATCACATTCAGGCTTCTGAAACAGCACAGAATACATTTTGTGGTCTGCTTCTGGCTTCCCTCTGCAGCTTGTGTCCCACCCTCACAGTTCATTGCAGCATCCCCAAAGGGCTTAAAATTCCCTGCACATACAGAGCTGTTTCTTGCCTCTGAAACATCACTCAGTTGGAATTTTCTTCCCCAACTGCCATTCCTCAAATTGTCACATGGCTGACTTCAGCCTCAATTTAGATGCCACCTCCTCCAGAAGGTCTTCCTTCACTCCCTCCTCCCCCAGGCTGGGTTGGGGACCTCTCTTCAGTGCTCCCTAGACACCCTCCAACAACTTGTTGCACACATTTTTGGTAATCCGTCCCAATGTCTATCCTCCACTAAGCTATTAGAGCTATTAGAGCTTAGCTTTCATGAGACCAGTGCATGATGCCCAGCATGAAGTAGGTGTTCAAGAAATCTTGTTTGGGTCACAAATAAAAGAATGAATAGATTCTTCACAGAAGTGTGTGCAGGGGTTGACTATTAAGGCATCTGTTTCATAAAGGATTCATCCCTCCAACCTCTGATCTTTTTACCGGGTGACTATTGCCCATTCTGACAAGCCAGGTTTGAGACAAAGGAAATAGTGAGAAAAAACTGAACCTAAAAAAAAATTCCCTTAATTTATGTCTTGATTCTAAGAGTGCTACCTTATAGTGTATGAACATCCTTCTTCTGTTTGCTTATTGTCGTGTCGTGTGTGTGTGTGTGTGTGCTTGTGTGTGTGTATCTGTCTGTCCGTCTATGTGTTTTGCAGATAAAAGTGAACAAGTAGAAGGAATAATCTTCTTTGTTACATTTTGCCCCCTGCCCAACCCCCCATCATCCTATATGTACTATCTATGGCTTTTTTTTTCCCTGTGTCATAAATTTATTTTGCAAGGAATAGAGTTGTACAGTCAAGGATAATTTGCTTTTAAAAATGTCACAAGCATTTTGTGTTACAAACCTTGGCCTTTGGGCGTAGAAACAAATAGAGTTTTTTAACAACTGAGAGCTAAAAATCTAATTATTTCCATTTTATACCTTTTTTTAAAATTAGGGGTAAGAATATTGGACACGATGTAGATTTTTTAATTACCAGTGCAGAAGCAACAGATGAAGAAGAACAACAACTGTTGCATAAAGTGACAAACTTATGGGAAAAGAAGGTAAGGAGAGATGCTAAAACTAGATGTGTATCCACTCGAGCATCATATTAACATGCTGAATTTTATAAATTATTTACCTCATAATTGTGTGATGACCATCTAATCAATTCTCAATTATTAGTAAGACATTGTCCCACACCACATGACCCACAATGAGATTTACCTGCTGTGTGCCCTAGAGACCCTGTTATGAACATGTACCTCGTGTATTTACACTCACCCTGTCACCGGAGGGGCCTCTGCGGCCACACATTTGTGCCTGACAGGCAGAGGCAATAGTTCACCCAAACCAAATGCAGGCGGTGCACTGAACCACCTGGGAAAGCCAGGGAAAATCCAGGAGAGCCACGAGTTAGGGCTGCAGCAGGACCACTCAGACCAGGATCACATGGTGTAAGGGGCGTCGCTGTGCCTGAATTCCTAGCTCTTCTGTTCCCACCTGGACCTGGAGGAAATGAATGAAGGCAAGCTGGCCCAGCAGAGGTCATAGCTCAGAGCCCTCACCCGCTGACAAAACCAGGCCTGTGACAGGCTGGCCCATGCCCCATGGAGGAACCCAAGCTGAGCTAACCCTGTGGCCACTGCAGGCCCTGACTCCTGTCCCATTCTAGTGAGAGCCCCATGTCACAGACAGACCAGAGGGCCCCACCCTGCAAAGCAAGTGCCAAGGAGGCTGGGCTGGTGTTGTTCTGGTGCGGCTTCATTCTTTCTCGGTGGATGGTATTTGTGAGGTGTGGACTGAGCTCTCTGATATGCCAGCGAGAGGAGATCTCAGATAAGGGAAAATGAGAGCTAGAAACACACAGACCCAGAGCCATGGACACTGGAAGTGAAGACCCAACTGTGGAACCAGAGCCACATTTGCTTGTGAGTCTCTCCTTGTGTCCCTCTCAGGATACTGGACACAGTGTAACAAGGGTCCTTGAGAGTGGACACAATAGGCCCCACAGGGGACATCAGGACAAGGAAGAGCTACCTACTCTGGCTGCTACTCTGCATGGGTGGTAAAGAGGAAAGGTTCCCCCCGACAGATGAAGGAGCACAGCGCTGGACCCTGCAGGCTGAGGCCTGGTGGAGTCGGCTGCCTGCCTGCCCACCTGCATCCTTGCAAAGGGGGACCCATTGACCTGTGCTTGTGGACACCCCTCCTCATGCTGAGACTGGGATGGGAGAGGAGGTGGCAGTGGGAGCCCTCTTTCCCTTGGTCCTTCCTGGGTTTCAAGACTGTCATACTGCCGTCCCCAAGCAGCCATGCGTGTTTTAAATGCAAGACCTGAGCCCAGGGGACCCTGCCAGTTCCTCGCTGTTCCACCTGGGGTGGCTCCCTAATCTTCCACGTTCCACTTCCCTCAGTCTCTAAAGCAGGGATGACAAGCCTCTCTCCTCGCTAATGGGGGACTGAGAGAACTGCAGTGCTAAACAAATGTGGCGGTTATCATGATCCTTCATGAGCTGTTGCTTATTGAACTCTGCCTGAGAGCCTGACTCTGGGGCGGATGAGGGGACGCAGCTCCCTCCCCGTCACTCAATGACTCACTGACAGCTTGACAGCAGGGAGAAGGGGCGGGGCAGTTCTGACCACACCCCCGCAGCTCCAGGCCTGCCCCCCAGTTCTCCATATTTAACTTCCACCTCTGTCTCTTCTTAACCCAAACTACACTTTCAGGATGATAAAGACCACAGCCTCGCAGGCGCACATGCGCGTACTCAGGCACAGTGAAGGCGGCGCACACTCCAGGTGTTCAGCAGGAACAGCCCAAGGACATCAGCTGAGCCACCTCCGATGATTCTAAATATTGCCCTGGCAGAAAATTCCATGGTGGGAGGTGAGATGGGAGAAGGCAAAGAGCTTGACAGCCTCGACCTTTGGGGAGGGATCGCCTTTGCCAAAGACTTCATTTGCCTGAATTCTAACACTGCCCATGTGTAGTTCACCCCAAGGAAAGGACACTGGCCAACTCTGGTTAAGGTTCACACCTGGAGAGCAGGACCTTGGGTACAGGGCCTCTAACTGTTCCCTGCCACCACATCTCCAGCTTGTGGCACTGCTGGGTGATCCAGATCGATAGAAAGTAAAAGAGCGTGAATTCGCTTTCCATAACCTCAGCTTCTGTATCCCAGGATCCAACCAACCCTGGAAGGAAATATTAACAGAAAAACTGCATCGGTGCTGAGCACATGCAGAATTTTTTCATGTCGTGAGACAACTCTTCACCTAACATTCATATAGTGGATCTTGTAAGTGATTTAGAACTGATTTACAGAGCATGGGAGGATGGGCTAGGTGATATGCAAATTTTACACCCCTCTATAGCAGGGACTCATCTGTGGACTTTGATATCAGCAGGGGTCTTGGAAACAATCTGGAGGACACTGTTTTCGCTTGGAGAAGCTGATTTGACTTTGAATAGGGGGCGCTGATTCTGCTGAGGAGCTGGAGAAGATTGAAAGCAAAGGGTGGGAAGGGACCTCAGGCTCTGCTAAGCATGTCCCACCTTCTCTAGCTCTCCTTACCCTGAGATCTGGCTGCTCTGTCCCCTGGGGACAGGGAGGAAGGAGCAGGGAAATGCCTCTTTCCTAGTCAGGACTCTCTGTTTCCAGTGGGAAAAGAAGGTCATGATGGTGTGGAAATCGGGTGGCCCGTGGGTATTGATGGGGAAGCCAGAGTCCAACCCTTAAAAGGAATTTTCATAGGAGAGAAGAAATGGGAGATGAGGCAGGGAACTACAGGACACAGAGACAGACAACCAAAATCCCAGAAGAAAGAAGAAAACTGAAGTCCACAGCAGGGGTTGCATATATGCTGACAACTACACCCTGCTGAAGATAGAACCGGACATGCAGAGGGGCGTCTCATTCAAGGACTTGCAAAACTCAAGACAAAGTCACCAAGGATGGCTGCCCTTCTGTTACCAGTCATGTGTCACCACCTTGGCAAGAGCAGCAGCACAATTCACTCCTAGGAAGCCAGTGTTGCAGGTGTTTTTTGAAAGGAAGGTAGATGTTATTACAAATCTGGCTTCAACAGGAAGCTTGCTAATGTTTTAATAACTTGCTCTTCAAATTTACATATTCAAATGTACATGAAAGTCAGCTATAATGTACCTGTTTTAGTAAGTTTCATTGAAAAGCGTTTTAATGAGCTGGGGTTGGAGGTCCCCTAAGGCAGCATGCATCCCCCACCCAGAGGTTCCTTCCAACAGCAGAGCCCTCCTAATCCTCGCAGGGCCTTTGTTCTTGCTACACCGCCCTCTCCCAAGATGGCAAAGGAACAACTCTCCTCTCAATGGAAACAGTGGCTCTTGGAGATCTGCAAAAGGAATAGAAAGCATGTCCAAAAATAATGAAAATTGCCTCTCTCTTCCCCTCCTCTGTCCTGTGCTGTGAAGAACTCCCAGGGAGCACATGGCAACTTGCCTCGCCGTGTCCCAGAATCACTTGGTAGCTTTCTGGGGAGGCAACTTCAGATGAGCTATCTACTCTGCCCCACTTGCTCAGAGGCAGGCAAGAGACAAAGCAGCCTCAGTGCTGCTGAAAATAGCAAGTCACCCTGCCCCAAAGGGGAGCTGAGCTTCCAGCCACAGACCTTGATCCACTTCAACCTAATCATCGTATAGCATGGGGACACGATCTCAAAGCCACCCCACTTGGCAGCAGCATGACTTTTTTTTAATGGTTGGTTTGTCTTTCAAGGAGAGAGGGGAGTCTCAGCAATGGCTGTAGAGTCAGAAGGAGGGAGGCAAATTCTTTTTTTTTTTTTGGTTCAAAACTTGGATGAGGGAGGCAAATTCTCTCAAAGTTTTGCTGTTAAGTGGCTTTGGAACTCAGCTTCTCTGGTGGCTAAATTCTTTTTCTACAGAGGGGGGGATAAGACACTCAGCTCACTCAGCTGCCTCTCCTACTGTGCCAGGTGGACTCTGGATGTGAGGACAAAAATACCCCTGCCTCCGTTCAGCCCTGCAAAGGTTTGGTCAAGAGCCTGCTATAAGATCGCAGACTCCCCTGGAGACCTTCCTGATGTCTTGTCATTTCTTTCAGGGATTACTTTTATATTGTGACCTTGTGGAGTCGACATTTGAAAAGCTCAAGATGCCTAGCAGGAAGGTGGATGCTCTAGATCATTTTCAAAAATGCTTTCTGATTCTAAAATTGCACCATCAGAGAGTGGACAGCGACAAGGCCAGCCAGCAGGGAGGGAAGAACTGGAAGGCCATCCGTGTGGACTTGGTCATGTGCCCCTATGAGCGCCGTGCCTTCGCCCTGCTGGGATGGACCGGCTCCCGGGTAAGTGCTACATGGACCCACAGGATGATGTTGGCCTTCCAGAACATGTAGGCCAGCTCTGCTGGGGCCCAGAGGAGAGATGACAGCAGGAGGATGGGATGCCAGTGTTGTACTGAGCCCAGAAACCTCTAGATCAGGCATTGTACCCACACACGGTCATGCCAGACAGGTTCACTTAGAACAGTGATTCCTGATGTATGATCCCCAGAGCAGCAGCTGCAGCCTCACCTGGGAACAGGTTAGACTTGTAAACCTTCCACCCCACATAGACTTATTAACTTGGGGATTCTGAGAGCTCAGGCATGAGACCAAGGAAGCAGCCCTGCTCCAAAGTGGAGACTAGCAGGTGGTGAAGAGCTTGGGTTGGACTCACCCTGCTCCGCCTCCTACCAGCTGGGTGATCTTGCACTCAGTCTTCCCATAGAGGAAATGAGGTCCCTGACCTTGGCTACCTCCCTAGGTTCCAGAGATTTGGAGATGATGCTCTCAAAGCCCAGCAGCACCAGGTGTGTGGTTAGTACTGGATAAACAGCAGCTCCTGGCTCCCATCATTTTATGCTCACAGGAGAAGGAACCATGGGCTGAGTCGCTGTGACATGTGCTCTTCACACTCTTGCACCTGTTTCCCAAAGTACCCATTTGTTGCCTGGAATGAAATGGAGGGTTTTATACTAATTAACTGCACAATGTAAATGAATTGTCTTTGAGTTAGAATTAAGTTCCAGTGTCTTTGCTTTGGGCTGGAATTATCTCAGCACAGGATCTTAGCCCTGGGATTTCTTATCCTAATCAAAAAATGTCAACCAGCAATGAAATGCATCTTTTATTCACACACACACACACACAAAAAAAAAAGGAAAAACGAATGAAAGATACACCATAAATGTAATTTGTCTGGAAGACATAAATCTTTGGGAACACAGAGTCTGTTGAGAAAGGGTACAGAACTAAAAGGAAATCTTTGCAAGGTCACACAAGGTCATGCCAGTTGGGATTCACAGGCTGAAACGGCTGCCCTTTGCTTAGCTTGTTTTTAAGATAAAATGTTTTCAACACATTCTGGTCTCTTTTCTCAAGAGTTCTCAGAAATTATGGCTATTGGTTTTACAAGACACTGGCAGAACACCAAACTCACCCAGATTTTAGCAGGGTGACTACACAAGCTATTAAACCTCTCAAAACCATAGTTGCCCATCTGTCCTTGGTAACAGTGATGCCCACCTCATAGCCCTGCTGCTGCCTGGGTTAAATGAGATGCTGCATGAGTTTAAATGTGCCAAGGGCTCAGCATATTTAAAGCTGAGCTAATTTTTGATTATCTTTATAATCTGTATATCACTTAAGTGACACACTTATGGTGTGTTTCGCTGACCTCTACTGGCTCTCATCTGGCGCTCTGTCCCCAGGGGATAAGTGTTGGTAAGCAACTAGGATTGGTCTAGTCTAAAATTCCTGGTCCAGTCTAATGTCACCTTGGCCCAGGGATAGTAACTACCAGAAAGCTTCCTTGTGATCTTTGGGCCCAGGGATTTCCTGAACAGGGTCCATCTGCAGGAACACACGAAGCTGAGGTTTTCTGAAGCCACCCAGGTATGGTATGCTCTCTAGATGGTGCACGAAGTTCATTAGTTAAAAATCAAGAGAAATGTCTGTTTTCCCTGAATCACATTTCTTCCAAGCAGGTCTGCTGAGCTGGTCAGCCTGGCTTTATTTCCTGGTGTTGTAGTCAGGTTTCTTGTTGCTATGAGCAAAAGACCTGACAAGAACAACGTACAGGAGGAAAAGTTTATTTGGGGCTCAGAGTTTCAGAGGTCTCAGTCCACAGATAGCTGCCCCCACAGCTGTGGGCCTGAGGGGAGGCAGAACATCCTGGTGAAAGGGGATGATGGAGGAAAGCCACCCAGGATGTGGCCACCAGGAAGCAGAGAGAGGGCTCCACTCACCAGGGAGGAAAGATAAGCACCAAAGACACGCCCCCCAGTGACCCGCCCCATCTAGCCATATCCCAGTTTGCCTCCAGTTACCACCCAGTAATCCATCCCAGTGGATTAGCTAATGCACTGATGAGGTTAAGGCTCTCTAAACTTTCTTACATGATCTCACACATGAGCTTTTAGTGGACACCTCAGATCTAAACCACAACAGCTGGAATTTCTTCAAAAGTATGGATCATGTATGTTTACGTCACATGTTGGGAGGAGGCACACAAATGATGATGGCCAGGTACCTACTTAAAAAAGCATCTCTTCTTTAAGATACCTTACTTCCAATTGCCCTAAAATTTTCATAATAAACACGAATATCTACAAAAAGCACACATAACTGTGCTGTCTAAAGTTTCACAGTGCACAACTTCTACACGCATATGCAACAGCTACGAAACAGCCCAAATTCTGAAGTCTGTTGGAGTGATGATACAGTCAGACTGTGCCACGACTGCTTCTACCAATGTGCACCTTTTGTTATCTGAAACATAACATCCTTGCCCTGCCTGTTTCCCAGCACTTTATTTATTTATTTATTTATTTTTGGTACTGGGGATTGAACTCAGGGACGTTCGGCCACTGAGCCACATCCCAGGCTCTATTTTGTATTTTATTTAGAGACAGGGTCTCACTGAGTTGCTTAGCACCTCGATTTTGCTGAGGCTGGCTTTGAACTCCCGATCCTCCTGCTTTAGCCTCCGGAGCTGCTGGGATTACAGGCATGCACCATCAGGCCCAGCTAACATTTATTTTTAACATATCCCATAATTAACTTATTTCCTCTGCTACTATAAATTATCTGTGGCCCCTGCTAGATTCTACCAGGGCAGACTTTCTTTCTTTTGTTCACTGTTCATATTCCAAGCACCCAGAACACAGCTGAAACTCAGCAAATATTTGTTAATAATTTCATTAATCTCCAAATGGCAGACACAGCCTAATTTCTAATGGAGTATGGAAACTGCTCCTCAGGCTTTCACAGAGGAGCCCAGGAATACATCTCTCACCCAACACCCAAACAGCAGGGCCGGGGATCCGGGACAGCCCCTCATCAACTCCACTTGCCCCGGCCTCACCTCCACCTCCAGTCTCTCCAGCTGGCACCAGTCCACAGGTGTGAGCCACACAACCCAGCTAAGGCTGGGGGAGGAAGGACAGTGGCCAGGGCTGGGAGGTGGGAAGGCGGTGAGCCAAGCAACTCTCCTGAACCTTCACAGACCTGTCTACGCACCGGAATCTGCTTCTCCCCAATTCTTCCGCAAGTCTGGCCCCATCTCCAGCCAGGACTTCTGCTGAACTGTCTTCTCAGCCAGGACAGCAGGCTTCCTGATAGGAACTCACCTGTTGCCACTAGAGGGCGCAGTTACCCTAGACGTTCTAAGGACAAAATTTCTAGACCTTTGCTTCTCTCAGGAAAACCAGCTTCACAAACGCATTTCCAAAGCTCTCTTGTCCTCTTAGGCTTTGGGTTTTGCGGGTTTTGCTCCCTGACGCCTCAGAGCCCAACTCCTGATTATAAGAGAAGCCATTCTGGAACAGGTGACTTCACAGAATCTTAGTAGGAGGAAATGGTAAAGCCAGAGGGGAATTTATCATGCCTATCCTCCATCCTTTGACCAACCAAGATTCAGAGAGGCTGGGTGACTTGCCAAGAGATACACAGCCAGGTAGGGACAAGAATCCTGGAATATGATCCCTGACTCCTTGTTCTCTTTTACAATAATAATATTCAAATTTTAAAGTAAAATTATTTATCTTAAACCTGGTCCAGTATTTACTTCTACACATGAGGCATTATTTGCCTAGGGAATGGGGGTCCTGGGCAAAATACATCTAGTTTCTGTTCTCACCAAGCTTACAGTCCAATGTGCTCATGGGAGCACAGAGCTCCGCCATCAGTTTCTCCCTAGGAGAGAAAAATTACTCTGAGAACATTTAGTGGAGATAGATATTTCACTAGAGGGTCTCAGCCATCTCTAAACGGTGAATACTGAAGACATTTTGGACGTGACATTAATTTGTTCTCATTATCACTTTCCAGCAGTTTGAGAGAGACCTCCGTCGCTATGCCACACACGAGCGGAAGATGATCCTGGATAACCATGCTTTGTATGACAAAACCAAGGTAGTGCTTCCTTCCTGACATGGGAAACTTGGGTCCTCGTCCCTAAGACTGGCCCCCTGAGCACTTTACCTGGACTGATTTTAGTGTCCAGGAATCATTCATTTGCTATGAGTGTCCCACTCCCAGCTGATCACAGAAGAGAGCAGCTGGAAACACCCCCCACAGCTGACAGCCCCCACCTGGCCCAGAGTGCAACTCAGGGTCTTTGAGTTGCACTAAAAACTCAAAAAAAAAAAAAGCTAAAGTAGCCCCTAGAGCCAGGGGAGCAGTGAACATATTGGGTTTGCTATGTCCTTGGTGTTTGTAGTGAGTGGCTTCAAAGAAAACCAGGGATCCCTACAAATCACAAACACACCTGATTACCCTGCACATGTAGAAGCAGTAGCATTCTGAGTGGATAAAGGAGAGAGACAGAGCTGCCCAGAGAGGGAGATGGGCAGTTGGCTAGGCTCACCAGGTATGTGACTCGTGCGCCATGCACACTAGCCTTGCTATGGTCATGATCCAATTCATGCCTCAGGATTACATTACTACATGGATTATGAAACATCCAAGATTCAACTGTTATAACCATAAGCACCACGGTCTGCTCTTATAGCAGTCAAGCACACAACACTAGGTTCTGAAGGGGAAGATGACAAAATAACTAGAAGCAGTGGTCCTTGCCCTCTAGGAGTTGATAGTCCAAATGAGATGTATTTAGTTAGGGATGCCTCAGTTTTAAGTATGAACAGGCAAAGGAAAGGGAACTAGGTTGCTTACTGCAGTGTCTAGGGGTAACATTGGCTTCAGGTGCAGCGTATCCAGGTGCTCAGGCAGGCTTCCTGCAATGTTATATTCATTCGCCGGCCAGCTTTTTCCATGAGTCCCATTCTCCAACAGAGCAGAATCTCTTTCTTAATAGTACTAGCAAGAATCCTAGCTGATGCTGTTAACTCTGATCTGCCAGGCTTGTGCTGTGTGCTTCTCCCTGGAGGTGAGAGCAGCTCCATCTGACTTTCATGGATTGAGAGTAGAGAGAGGGGATTTCCCAAAGAAATTCAAAGTGCTGCTTACAGAGAAGGAGCTGTAGGTGCTAGCAGGAAACCCCCAGAAGCTGAGCATGTGGGTGGAGATAGAGTAATATGATATAATTTAGAAAGACAAATTAATACATAATAAATAATTTAAGCAAACAGGTACCTTCTATGTGCCCAGAACTGTGCTATTTACAAGAAGATATGTGGAGGAAGAGAGCAGTGCTTGGTCTTAAAGAGATCATGGGGTGGGAGCCTGGTGTGGTTGGGAACAGGTGCAGAAACTAGAGAACTCAACACTTAGTAGGTAAGTGTCCTGTAAGTACTAGCAGCACATGATTCTGACTGCACATTAGAATTATCCAGAACTTTTAAATAGAGAGATGACAGGACCTCTCCTGAAGCTTCAATTTCATTGGACAGGATGTGGTTCAAACTTCAATTAAAAACAAACAACAACAACAAAAAAACCCAGCTCCATCTGGTGGTTCTAATGAACAGCTGTTAAGAACTGCTAATGCCTTTTGCTTAAATGGAAAGATGTCACAACTTTATCTTAATTCACCATGTATCATTGTTTTAGTCAGCTTTTTCACTACTCTGACTAAAAGATCAGGCAAGAACAATTTCAGGAGAGGAAAAGTTTATTTGGGGGCTCATAGTTTTGGAGGTCTCGGTCCATAGACATCAGGCTCTGCCGGGGTTCTGCCCCAATGAGGTCCAGGGGTCCAGGGGTTCCTGTGGTAAGTAGCGCAAAGGATGAGACAGGAGTCGTTCCATTGGAGCAATCTCCAGAGAGAGAGCTCTAATGCAGCTTTCTCTGGGTCATTTATTACAATTTTTCTCATCATTATGGATTCAGAATACGTCATTAATTATACAATTTCCAAATTTTGCCAAGATGTGACATTTCCTTAACAATCATTAGGGGTATAGAAAAATGTGACATCAATTTACATTTTTCCAGGACGTGACGTTTCCTTATTATGGGCACAAAATCATTAATAAAATCCGTCACTAATTTGCATTTTTCAGATTTTACCAAGATGTACTATTTTTCCCAAGATGTACTATTTTCTTATTAACAGATGCCAAACTACATAACGAGACTCTAAGTCTCTTAACCTGTTATGAACCTTTAAGTTTAAAGTACATTTGTACTTTATTTCCAATCTAAAATTCCCATCTAAAGAAGTCCCCTTAAATCTTATACTAAAGTCTATAAACTATTCTTAAAGCATCTTAAGAACCCATAGAAACTAAAAACTTAAGAATTCTAAACTTAAGAATCTAAATAAAATAATATTTCTAACATTATTCTAAAAATATGTCTTATAAAGCTACTTTAATTAATTCCTAAATTTATTCTCATAAAACTGGTTGGGCTGCTTTCTCAAAGAGTTTCTTTGTTTCTTAGACAAGGTGCACTATTTCTTATATCTTTGTAATCTCTCTCACTGAAATGCAAGTTCTGAACCTCAGTCCACTTACCACCAATATTAACTATGCTCATCATAGGTCCCTATGTGAGGTAAAAGAGGATTTATAGAAAAGGGGAGAATGTATCTTTATTTGCCTTAACTTTACTAAGTGTATAACATAACTTTCCTTTAACAAACAAAACTACATATGGTGGGCTTTGTGCAATAAGAATAATTATTAGACTTTCTAAGAGGCCTGAAAAATGGGTTTGGGTTCTTAGTTGATATAATCAATGTGGTACCTAAAATTCTCATGACCTTTTGGAGAATGATTGTTGTCCATTATCAGTTTTGTCCTCAATGTGCTGAGATAGTAGAACAGCCTTCTATTTTATCCTCGATATACTGAGAGGTAGTAGAATAGCCTTCAAGGCATGAGCTACCTGTTATGTTCTAGCCATCTGAAATTTAATTTGGTTTGGCATTAAGCATACTCATGCTTCCTGTCAGGAATATGAGCATGAAAATGAAAAGTCCCAATTGCATAAAAAAGGGTCTCATGGTTTCGGTTTCCCACCAGCAGGCTTTGCCAGCATTCAGCAAGGTCACTGTGACCTTGTCAAGACAGTGGGAGGGGGAGTGCCTTCACTAAGGCTCCATTCCTCGGGCCCAAGGTGAGGCAGGACATCATGGTGGAAGAGTGTGGCTGAAGGAAGCAGCTCACATGATGATTAGGAAGCAGAGAGAGAAAGAGGTCTCCATTTGCCAGATAGAAATTTATACCCCAAAGCCACAGCCCCAATTTCCAACCTCCTCCAGCCACACCCTACCACTTCAATTACCATTCAGTTAATCCTAATCAGGGGATTAATTCACTGATTAGGTTAAGACTCTCACAAGCCAATCATTTCTCCTCTGAACCTTCTTGAATTGTCTCACATGTGAGCTTTTGGGGGACACCTCACATCCAAACCAAAACAATCATATTCTTGGATGGAAAAATGTAAAATTTACAGAAACTAGTTACGATGACTTAAATATTCAGAAGCAAAGTATTTTGTAATAATTCATTCTAATAAGAGTTTTACAAGTCACATTTTTACCGTGTCTGCACTGAGATAAGAAAAATAACTGAATGCACATTATTTCTTGTTATGTTTTCAGAGGATATTTCTCAAAGCAGAAAGTGAAGAAGAAATTTTTGCACATCTGGGATTGGATTACATTGAACCATGGGAAAGAAATGCCTAGGAAAAAGTTATCAACATTTTGTTCCGGTTCTTTTCAGGTTAAATAAATTATGCTTCATATCTGTAAAGGATTCCTTAAGAAAGTTTGGAATTCTTAGGACTTACTGACATACAGATTGCTACTAGAAATAAGCTGCTTTGGAGACATGATAAGGAAGCATGTGGTAATGGGTGTAACAGACCCTTTGTGCAACCACGGCTTAGAATTCACAATGCATTTTTCAAGAGAAATGGGTTTGTCACTGTGACCCACCAAGGAACCGTTCAAAACCCACTTTGCCCTCAGCGTAGCTGTGATACTGGTTATCTTCAATAAAAATAGGAGAAAATAGGATGATGGTGTCTTCTTCACTCAATTATCATAAAATGTTTCTAAACACAAGTGAAATAATGGAATAATAAAGAGCTTGTGGTTTCTCTTAAGGGGACAAATGGGCTTAATTAGAACATGCAGAGACTCCAAGGGGGACTCTGGGCTCCATCTGGAGCTTCAGGAGGAACTGGTGCTGACTGCTGACTGGCTCAGTGTAGTTCAAAGCCAGCAGCTCTCCCACCACCATGGAGCTGGGCTCTAAGCATCCCAGCACAGGACCACGGCACAGGTAGATTCTCCCTGCTCTCCATCAGAAGGAATTGCAAACCCAAACCACCTAAGGAATAGTTCCCTCCTTTTTTCACGTTGGAGTCCTTCTCAGGATCTCCTTAGGTTCTTTATCTCAGGGCACCCAAGGGAAGGGAGGGAGCCTCTGGAACTTCCAGGTGCCAACTCTTTCTGACTGCTGTTCCCTTCAGGAGGGCACAGACTAGGTCCTGTGGTCTGAAGGACCTAAAAGGCATCTGTCCCAGGTTTGGGGTCCTCAGCCGGCAGAAAAGCTGGAGGCAAACTCTGACGACCATTAACCCATATTCAAGAAAGGAAAGCCAGAGGGAAGCGTTGAAGAAGGCACGAGAGGGAAGAAAAGGGAAACGAGGTGGTCCTGAGGATGGGGGGAGGCCCCCAGCAGAATCAGCTTCCGTGGAGATTCACCTTCTTGGGAATTCACGTTCCTGTGGTCACGTATTGCATGACACATCAGGGCTCCACGGCTCACCACACCCCGCTCTGTGTGTGTGTGTGTGTGTGTTTCCCCATTATGGTTTAACCAACATTACCCAGGTTCCTTCCTAGGTAATGTTACTCCCCTAACCCAGCCCCACAGCATTAGCTGAATGCCCTGGGCCAGGGTCAGGGAGCGGCTGGAGGATGGACCTTAAATACAAGGAAGGCAAGAACAACCCACGCCCCCAGGGAAGTGAGGGAATGATTGCATCAGTCCTGTTAATGTGGGGAGATCCAGACCCCAAGCCTGAAGTCGTGGAGCACCTCGGACCACATGAGCTAATGTGTGCAGAAGGACACTCGAATCAAAGCTCCTCTAGACATCCCAGCAGGCTTAAAGGGGGCCTGGGACAATGATCTCATGGAACCAAGGGTTGACAAAGGAGCACAGCTGGACACGCTGAGAATCACACCTTGGATGAGACAGCTAGGACCAGCCACTCCCGCAGACCATCAGGGGCCCTGGGGACTCCCTCAGCTTTGTCCCTCACTCCCTGAAACTCCTATTTCCATTTTCTGAGACAGAGAAATAGAGCCAGTTTAATCTAGGCCTGATGGGTCATGGGTTGACCAGTGGCCATAGCCCGTAGGCAGGCTGCCCGTGGGTCAGCTGTGCACTCTGTGTCCAGTCAGACACTGTTGGGGTGTGGCTTGCCTACATGGGTGCGAGCCTGGGTGTGTGCAGGTGACTGCACCCGGGAGCTCTTCTTTGGAGGGCTTTGGCCAGGTAGCTTCTCCATGCCAGGCTGGCTGTGGTCGTGGTGAAACTGAAACGGGGGTACCAAGGTCAATAGGTGCACAATTCTGGGAGGCTGGGAGGTGTAGCCTGGGACAGAGATGCCCTGCTTGGCCCCCTCAGAATCTACCCACAGGAACCCTCACCATCTTGGTTACCAGAGAAACTATATCCTCAAAGCCCACTGAGGAGTCAGCAAGCAGGGTCAGTCACAGACCAGGGCCGTCAGGGATAAATATTTAGAATTCAGCTTTCTTCTTCAATAAATCAACATCCTCTCAGAGGAGAGGCCTGGAAAACAAGGAAAATGAACAGAAAAATGACGATGATAGAGAAAAATAGGGTTGGTTAGTGCAGAAGTAAGGGAGCTGTCACCTGGAGGAGAGGAGCAATTGCCTGGATAGGACGATACAGGATAGAAACTCTAGGGTGTCCGAGGTTGTCCCTCCAGGCTGGGGAGGCTGGGGATGACTTCACAGAGGAAAGATCCCAGCCGGTTTTAAAGAATGGGAGGATTTGAATCTTCCGTAGCAGTCCAAGCAAGTGCAGAGGCGAGGAAGGACCCCCGTGTTCTACAGTCATGAGGCAGCTGAGCCAGAACTTTCCTGTTTGGAACGGACTTTTGGAAAGGATCTTCCCAAGACTTCTCTCATACATGTGAAACTTGAAAGAGGGAAAGGAGTTTTGTGATGGATAACAAAGGTCAAAGACTGGCAGCCCCTCTGCTAAAACAGCCCACAGGTGTGTTGTGTTAGGTCTTTGCTGTGTTTTAGGGATTTTTAAAAATAGTGACCAGTATTTAAAACTAGATAAAAATGCACATCCCCCCGCCCCCAGAGCTGGGGCTGTAGCTCCGTGGTAGAGCGCGTGCCTAGCATGTGAAGGGCACTGGGTTTGATCCTAAGCACCACGTGTAAATAAACCAAGATTAAAAAAATACAACAACGTTATAAAAAATGCACATTAAAAAAAAAATAGGATGTCTGGCTACTTTTGGAAAACTAGGCCGCACAGGCCTGTCTGTCTGCAGCAGGCACGTGGGCTCTGGATAAGCTGCGACACCCTGCCACCTTCCCACTGCTTCCCTGTTGACAGCGTCTGATCACAATCCATGAGATAGTCTCCTGGCCCTTTGGCTGCTCCTGTGTTTCCTAGGGACAATATTCAATATTATTTTAGATAGTATGTAGATGAATATCTTTATGCTGATATAATCAACAAATATTTATTGAGAGCAGCCATTTTTCTAAGTACAGGTGTAGAACAGTAAACAAAATTGTCAGAATTGTCTATTATTATAAACATGAAGCTTACATTGCATAAAGGCATTTATTTTAATCTGTTACAAAAGTCACAGTTTTCTGCTTATGATGGTGATACAAAGCTTCCTTTTGTGAATATACTTGTCTAAAATAGAAAAGTTATCAGTGTAGGGGCAGGGAGGAAATATTTCCAGAGGCATGAGACTGTGGCGAGAATGGGGAGAGAAAAGAGGAAAGCAGGTGACTAACTCTTGGTGAGCATACAGGTGGCCTGCCTATCTTCACTAACCAACTCTGCAGCTCTGATTCTCTGAAGGTCCCCACCAGTCAACAGCCCCATGCACGATTTTCCTCATCAGAGAACCTCAAAAATTCTAATGCTACTTTCTTATTTGAGAAGCTCTGTTGGGGATTCCACAAATGCCCTCTGCTGAAATTGCATATGATTTTTTGCTCTAGGTTAGAATTTTTTTTTAAAGGATTTATTGTTCACTTTTTTTAAATATCTTTTTTTAGTTGTAGTTGGACGCAATATCTTTATTTTATTTTTCTGTGGTGCTGAGGATCAAACCCAGGGCCTTGCACATGCTAGGCGAGTGCTCTACCTCTGAGCCACAACCCCAGCCCCTAGGTTAGGAATTTTATCAATTAGGTTGGTGACTGGTAATCAGAACTCAGCCATCCCTGGTGCCTCCTACTATATGAACAGAGTGCCCTCTAGTGGCTATTAAAAGAACCTTAGGAGGCAAATACAGATCTTGGTGGATCAAGTAAACCAAGAATGCAGAGCAGGACCTTAAAGACCTTCTGTGCCAACCCCCTCATTCTACAGATGACACATCCCTAGACAGGGAGGGACCTTCTCAATGTCACACAGCAAGTTAATGACAGATATTTTTCCCATTTAACAGAGTCTGTATACGGGCTGGTCCTCCACAATTACCAGTTCTGTGACTTTGGACAATATTATTAAAAAAATGCACATTTTTTAACTTGTCCCTGAGACAAGTTACCTAATCTCTGAGACTTGGCTTCTTCCTCTATAAAATACTCGTTCCTTTGTTTGCACCTTTCGGAGGATTAAATGAGGTAATGCTCTAAAATGTTTAAAGAATAATTTAGGGATCCTTTGGATTGGGGATGGTAAAAGAACAAGCTGATAATACCTCTGTGGAAAGGACAGTTGAGTACCCTGCCAGTATTTTACTTGCAGGCTTCCTCTGTAGAAGGTCCCAAGCCCCTGGAGCCAGAAAAGGAGGTGATGGAGATTGAGGCAGTCAGCGTTTTGGGTCTTGGACTCCAGCCTTCCTGGATTTGGCCAGCATGAGGGACAGGAGACAAAGGCCCAGTCAAATGTCTCCAGAGCTTCTGTGGAGGCTAAGTGCAGATTTATAGGACTTTAGGGTACTCACTGACCTTAATCTCTTAGGGACAAGGTGAAAGCCATAGTTCGAATGAATCGCTTTTGCCTATTTCAAATGAATTTTTTCAACCAAATTCACTCTAAGCATTTCAAATTCCTCCCGCCCACAGGTACATCCCCGTAGCAGCCCAGAAACTCTCCCAGTTACCAGTTAAACTCATTATTCTTAATGATTCATTTTGTGCAAACTTAAACCATCTCTCAAAACAAATTGCTTTACAGTCTTCAGGACCAATCAAATTCACTTCCTAGAGCCATCGGTAAAATTGGCAAAGTAACATCAATGCCATGTACTTCCTGGGGTTGGCGTAAAAATAAAACAAAATAATAGATAAAAGAATGCTTTTAAAACTAAAAAGTGCTATAAATTTAAAAGAGATTAGTATTTGTCATATTATTCTGCCATAGCTCCAGCCCCTGGGGACTGCTTCTCAGAAAGGTAAGCCCATGACTGTAAAAGTAACAAATCAGTCATTTCAGACAGGCTGGCATTTATATCCAAGAGCAAGAATATAGTGTTCTGTCAAGAAATTTCTGAAGTACTAAGTGAGGGAGACCTAGTGACCCTCACAGTGGTGACCTTGGACTTGACTAGCACCGTAGCCTGCAATGCATTTGTGTTCTGCATTTCCATGGTGTGTAAGGGACAGTATTTTCACAAGAAACAAATCCAAAACATGTGTTAAGTGCTTTAGCCTCTCTGGTGAGGGGCAGGAGGCAGAGAGAGGTGTGATTATAGTCACACGTTGGGCATTTGCTCTCATGCAAATCTCATAGAGTGTACTTAGCCAACTGAGATG